GAGCCAACTACTTAACTATAGAAGTAATATTAATTAAACTGGTATATCGTCCAATGTGAAATGTTAGAATTATGCTTTTACAATTGTTGTAATGAATAAAAAGCATTGCAGTCAGAGTAATATCTTCTACAGTGTAAGATATTGCTATCATTCAATGTTGCAATTTATTCAGAAATATCTTCATCCAGCAGTGCACCCAACACTTATGGTGTACAGCAATTGAGTAGTGGGATTTCAGAGCTGTCATTGAAGCACATGAGACATGAAATGCTTCGTAATGAGACTGTGTAAATTTGCTGGGAATTGCAATAGCACTCATGGGAAAATCAGAATTTAGTATTTATGATCCGAATTGAAGATGTATTTTAAAAACTGATATTTTTCCATTTTCACACAAAAACTATGACTGTGGCAATCTGTATATTATTTTGCTTATAAAAATCAAGTATTTTTGATCATTTGTGTCATTATGAATCATGGGCAACCATGTTAACCTTAAAAATTAATAATGATCTCCTATGTGTGTTGAGAAACATGTGAGCAGCATACATTTATGAGGTAAGATTTCTACAGATAATTTGAATTTTATAAGCCAATATGTGTGTTTTTTTGCTCTAAATTCGGAAATACGGATGTTTTAAAATAATTTTTTAAAAGAGTGTATTTACTACTTGATGAAGACATTCCTTCCTGACTGCTAGATACAAGCCCGGGGTTTTCCAACACAAAGTGAGATTTAGTTCTTTCAGCATGCAATGCTGAACTAAATTGTCAGAGAACACTTATTGCTTAATTCTTATCTTCTGAAAATACTAAAGAGAGATTTTGCTTAGACACCCTATTTTGACACATTGCAGGATTCACTAACTAAAAGCATAAGTGAAATGCTTTAAAGATTAAAGTTTAAAGATCAGGGCAATCTTCAACATATCACATTCTGAAAGTAGGTCTCATGTTCTTTAATCTCAAGCACATACTGTAAGTCACTCATGTATCCTTTTCCACACTCTTACATTATTGTGGTAGATCTCCTACATCTCATCAGTGTTGCTTTTATCAAAGAGACTTCTGACAGGTAAACTAGTTTGAACATGATAGCCTTGTGTATTTTGGCCTTCTTGCTCAATGTTTTTTTTTCTGCTCTTGACAGGAGCTGTTTGTAAAAACTGGCTATTTCCCTGAGATCACACATGTACAGTAATCTTAGCTTGTGGGATAATGTAGTGATATACTGTATATATATATGTATGTTAGACTCCCTATAAACCTATTATCAATGTGACTTAGGTGACATTCAATTTTATTTCTAGGCACAGCAGGAAAAGTATAGCCTTAATTTTCATTATGACAATTGTGTCTCACCTTAGCAAGGTGCCCAGAATGCATTCGTAAGGGTTGAATTACTTCTTTTTCTTGTTCCACACTGAGCTATTAGTTGTTTTAGTTAAACAGTTGCATACTTGGCCACTTCGATCGTCTTTACAAGGTCTTTGGCATTCAGCTGCAGTGATATATTGTAGGGATCTATTACACCCACCTACCAGCATTTGATTCTGAAGTTACTGCCTCAGCAGAGTGTATGAGAAGATCACATTTTTTCATTATTTTTTAATTAAATGTTTGATTAGTTCTTTCAAATATTGTCAAAGTTCATCTGCAGTTTAAGAGGCAAACCGTGTGCTTGAGTTCATCGTGTAAAAATATGTAATTTTGAAGTTATTTTATGTGATTTTTATAAACATTCAAGACAGAAGAAGTGGCTCTCACTTGTGTCTCACTATAAATGATGGTAGCAAACCTCTTTTCCAAGAAGTTCCCTCATCTCCAGTTTTGTAACCACTTCACAGCTTACTCCCCCGAACAAGGAGATTCATTTTGTTAACACCGAATCAGTTAGTTCAAATTGCTCTGACATTTTCTTTAGCCACATTCATCATTGTGAGCTAATGTTCAAATGTTCGTGACTTCCATCCTGCTAACAAACAAATTAAGTAACAAAACAAAATCTCTCCTCTTTTTTTGCCCTGAGACATGATCCTGGTTTATTCTTTTTCTCAATACAACCCAATTTATTTGTTTCCTAATACATTTGATTTAGGATTAACACATAGATAAGCTAGGTCTGAACAGATACTATATGTAATATCTAAATGTTTCTAAAACGTTCTGTGTGATATACGTATTTCCAGTTTACACTGTCTTTACTTTTGTTTATAGCGGTACCTTTTATTTGATGAATTTATATAAAAAATAACTGATATTGTTACAAAAGATGTTCAAATTAATGAATTTTAAAAAATCATCTGAATGAAATGATTATTGTGCTCTTTGAGTAAGAAAAACAATGAAAGATGATTCACATACATAAAAGTTCCCTTTCAAATTAAGCAATACAAGTTCTTTTAACTAAAACTTAATTTCCTGGTACAACATCTAGTTTCAATAATCTATATGTTTCTGATTTGTCTCTTTCTGTAGTATTTAAAACAAAATATTAGACCCCTCTTTAAACATCTCTGATTCACAGGAGACTCTCTCTGTTAACCACCTGATGTTTTATAATTTACACCTTTAAACCTAAAAAAGAGAAAATCATTATCTGCTGCTCGAAGCAGTTGTCGTATACTTTATTTGTTTTATTCTGTTCAGGGTGCACTTTTCTCTTATTTTTTCCTGCCCTTTTCCTACAAAGAATTCTCTCTACTTATCTACAATCCAAGAGAACTGATAATTAGAAATCATTAGATTCCCACTGTGCAGCCATCCTACCCTGTACTAATGGACAGTGGTTCAGCCTTGCAGGAAATGTTCGTGTTTATCAGGTGTCTGCAGAGCAAGCAGGGGTTACTTTGGCTTAATTTTGCAATTTGACCTTCTGGCTTTAAGAGCACAATTAGAAGTTCCCAGACAAGAAAACAAGTGGGAATATAAAAAAATAATCACAACTCTGAAAAGTGTTTTTTTTTAATTTAATTCAAAGGCAAACAATTTAGGAAAAACAAGTCTGATTTTCTTGTTTGCACAGAAGTAACTTAGTAAGATATTTCTCAATAATGTCAATAGAAGGTTGAGATTCTTGTAGTGTTGTAATGACACACTGAGATCTGAAACAGTAGAATAATCATCCCCTCATTCTCCCAGGACTGCGTCACTGGAAGACCTTTGTTCTGTTTCATCTGATGGAGTGTCTATGAATCAAAGACATACACCTTTCAATATGCTATATCTTGCTTTTGTTTTGTACCATGTTGAATAAATTAATGTATTTTCATGTTAGTAATATCTGCATGCTGCTGAATAGTGTTATAAAATGAATTAGTAACAAGTAAGAGGGAAATTAAAATAATACATTTAATGTTTTGTGTTACATTCAACTTAGTGATACCTTGTAGTAAGACATATTTTATACCTGCTCTTTATGACATTGAAAGACCTTTGAATAGAGCAATTAGCAATTGTGCCACCTAAAAATTGTGTAGATAATAGGACACCTTTAACCTTACAGGATATTAGATCAGTGCCATCAGTGAACCCAAAGACCAGCACAAGACTGGCAGTTTACATTCTGTATTTTTATTCTACATGGTATAAGGTATCACTGCATCACCTAAAAAAATTAAAAAAAGATGTATTCAGAAGGGATACTTTTTGATTGAACTTGGCACTGGTGGGTGTGTGTGTGTGTGTGTGTCTACCCTTGTTATGGCTGAAATGTAATCTACCAGCCATTTAGTAATCTTAACAATATTTTCATACCTTGAAATCTGTATGAAGAACACAGAAAAAGTCTTCATTGAGGTTAACAATACTAAAAAGAGAGAATTAATGCTTCGGTCAATGAAAACATGTAACACTTAAAAAAAACATATTTACAGTCAAATTTACAGCATTAAATACAGTGCCTTGCGAAAGTATTCGGCCCCCTTGAACTTTTCAACCTTTTGCCACATTTCAGGCTTCAAACATAAAGATATAAATTTTTTATTTTATGTGAAGAATCACCAACAAGTGGGACACAATTGTGAAGTGGAACGAAATCTATTGGATTTTTGAAACTTTTTTAACTAATAAAAAAATGAAAAGTGGGGCGTGCAAAATTATTCGGCCCCTTATGGAAGAGTGGCAAGAAGAAAGCCATTTCTCAAAGATATCCATAAAAAGTCTCGTTTAAAGTTTGCCACAAGCCACCTGGGAGACACCCCAAACATGTGGAAGAAGGTGCTCTGGTCAGATGAAACCAAAATCGAACTTTTTGGCCACAATGCAAAACGATATGTTTGGCGTAAAAGCAACACAGCTCATCACCCTCAACACACCATCCCCACTGTCAAACATGGTGGTGGCAGCATCATGGTTTGGGCCTGCTTTTCTTCAGCAGGGACAGGGAAGATGGTTAAAATTGAGGGGAAGATGGATGCAGTCAAATACAGGACCATTCTGGATGAAAACATGTTGGAGTCTGCAAAAGACCTGAAACTGGGACGGAGATTTATCTTCCAACAAGACAATGATCCCAAACATACAGCAAAATCTACAAAGGAATGGTTCACAAATAAACGTATCCAGGTGTTTGAATGGCCAAGTCAAAGTCCAGACCTGAATCCAATCGAGAATCTGTGGAAAGAGCTGAAAACTGCTGTTCACAAACGCTCTCCATCCAACCTCACTGAGCTCGAGCTGTTTTGCAAGGAAGAATGGGCAAGAATTTCAGTCTCTCGATGTGCAAAACTGATAGAGACATACCCCAAGCGACTTGCAGCTGTAATCGCAGCAAAAGGTGGCTCTACAAAGTATTAACGCAAGGGGGCCGAATAATTTTGCACGCCCCACTTTTCATTTTTCTATTAGTTAAAAAAGTTTCAAAAATCCAATAGATTTCGTTCCACTTCACAATTGTGTCCCACTTGTTGGTGATTCTTCACATAAAATAAAAAATGTATATCTTTATGTTTGAAGCCTGAAATGTGGCAAAAGGTTGAAAAGTTCAAGGGGGCCGAATACTTTCGCAAGGCACTGTACATGATACGGTATATAGTCCATTTCTACTTTCATGTGACGTCCTCTTTCATTCAGACAAACATTGCTTGACTCCAATCCATTGCCCCTGCAGTTGCTGTAGATCTCAGGTTATTTCCTCATCATCGTGCCTGGTGTCTCCCTGGTCTGTACATCAGTTCTGCGCAGTGTGCTGTTCACAAGTGGAGAGCCAGAGTTAACACAGGTCTCATGCTCAATTTCTTCATTTGTTGTGGACTGGAAAACTCAATCTGTTTTCTGTTTTGTTTTGATTTTTCTTTTGAACTACTTTAAAGCCTTTGTGGCACAAGTAACATTAATCTGTATTTAGGTGGTGATGTGGTGATGACCTACAGCTCATTTTAAAAATAGGTATTTTTTTTTCTTTTCATCTTTTCATAAATCTCTCTTTTGTAATTGACATATTTAAACACTGTACCACAATCAACATATTTTTCAATGAGTCACTCATGTAAGTCTTGTCAACCACACAGTTAGAAAAACTTTTAATTAAATTTTGTCTCCGTGCAGTCAACTCTAGATACAGTATACCTCTAGCTGTGACAAGAATTCAGTTTCAAGAAAAACATTATCATCCAGCAAATGATAAGAGAATATAAATGTCTTATACACTGTAAGACTGACATTCAGTAATATTTGTATAAATACAGGTGAATCATGATAAGCATAATGGAATAATACCCGTATCTTTCTAAGATACATAATGTTTAACTTACTACAGTATGTGTCATTCTGTGAGTTTAGAGTAGACCCTCCTGCTGTAGTGACTGCCACTAATGGCTTCCATGCTTAATGCTTGCAACAGCTGTGGGACCAGTGCTAAACTCTATCAGGGCTAAACCATTAAGCAACTGTAGGTACATCTACTGTTACAACAAACCGCTGAATACTTATTGTGTTATTGCCCTTGAGCTGGTCTAGAAAGATGCTGCTCTAGATAGATGTACTGTAAAATGGCAATAAAATTAATTTCACTTCTTTTCTTTTTCTTTTCAGACTTTACTGTGGCAAGTTGTGTTATATCATGCATTAATGTATTAATTGCATTTCATTCCTTAGTGCTGTGTTCGGTCTTCGTGTTAAGTTTTATTGCAAAAATAAAGCAGGTATTTATTTAGTTAGAAAATAGTTACAGCTCCAGATCTTGTCATTTCCCTCAGTCAAAGCCATCACTCGACGTGTTTTGAATATACATATGGAATTCAGTTGGGGAGGTAGAAAGCAGTAACCACATAAATTTATCTGAAACATAAGAAAGTGCTTCATGCAGTCCTTGTCTCCAAAGTATACTGTTTCTCAATTGAACAGGAGACATTCAACAATATGTCACAGTAAAGGTTGAATTTAAAATTAAAATTGAAATGATATTCAAGCATACAGGGGTAACAAAGTGGTAAAATGACAGAACAATATGTGCTTGTGAAAGGTACGGCATGTTGATGAGTGCAGTAGTGATTCATCCAGTCTCTCTGGGGCAACTCTGTGAACTGCAGGACACCTGTACATAAGCATGTAAGATATATATAAGCATATTTCAAACAGTAGGAGAAAAATGCAATGTCATGCCACTCCACCAAACAGCACGTGTACTGTTTGGTGTTTTCTAAAAGTGTGTTATGTAGAAATAATAATGAGAAGTTAATATAGTGAATATGAATACAAAATGGATGGTCCTTTGAAAGAAAAAAAATCTTCACAAAAGATTTAATACAAATATTTTAATTTGTCCCTGTACTGAAATAAAGAAACAAAACGTACATATTTTATTTTGCAAAAATAGTGTTACAAATATAATTTTATTTATAATTCAATTACAACTCAAAGATAGTGTTTAGTTTCAGCAATTTTTAAAGATGTACAAGGGGAAGTTTTTTTTCTGCACATACTGTATATATTTTTCCTACACTGTATCTTCATTAAAAGAGGGTTTTCTGGAGATGGAATAACAGATACTGTATGCACCAACTTCCCAGACTTTAATCCTAAACAATTGTAAACTTCAAATAAAAAGTCAGCATGTTTCACATTATCATTCTATGATATTCTCTTTCTACAATCAGACGTCTTCCAGTAAAATGCATAAACAAAACCCATTGTCAGCTGAAATAGTAAATGAAAAGTCTGAACATTCAATATCAAAATGATCTCATTTGTTGTGTATTTCTGTTAGGGTACTTGAGATGCAGAATACACAGCAGTGGGATGTGCATGCAGGTTTCTTTGTAATGAAATTTATGAAAATTAGAAACCAACAAAAAGAAATTATCTGTTATTGATTATCATACCTTTCATTTTAAACAGTAAGTGGTACAATATTTATTTTTCTCAAGATACATATTGTTATATTTATCAGGATATCTAGCATTAATGAAAGGCCAGATTAACACTGTGAATGGGAATCAATATAATCTGAAATTCATTTATAATGTGTATCATCTTTCCTCCAGCAAACATCTTGAGACAAATTAGCTAAGGTTTTGCTTTTGTGCATCTGGCCCCTTATTCAAATGTGTCATCATTGTTTGTTTGCATGCACTCTGAAACAGCCCAGAAGTGTTCCAGAAGTGATAAGCATACAAAATCCTCACTGTACTGCAGCAACGCTCAACTAAAGGGAAACTGCAATGCTATTTTTGTATTTGAGGGTTGGAAAGAGTCAGCATTGATGAGTGCATTTCAAACCGCAATTAAAAGTAAATGTACACTAAATGTTAACTTTTAAAACCTCAAATTTACATCACAAAATATATTAAATCTCCAGGTGTGCGCAAAGCCATATTCCGCGATTCAGAATGAGGCAACAAAACTACCTAGTGACGTGAAGAGCCCTATTACATCAAAAACAAGCAGGTTTATGAAATAATCTTATTAATCCAATAGAAATTTTGCTGATAATTGAAATTTACTTATTAACTCTGCATGCAGATCATGTTGGAATCTTTCTGTGGTGAAATATCTACTGCACACCTGTACTTAATTCGCTCATACATCACATTACATTAGTTATTAAAGTGACTAGTGAGCAGGAAGGGCCACTTCACGTAACAATTCTCTAGAAATTTCTTTGTTGCCCAAGGTGAGACCAGGTGTTTGCAATACCATACAGTATTTTCACCGGTTCATAATTATGTGCTTAATATGAAATTTGTCATTTTTTTCTATCCTGCCACTGAATTTATTTTGTTTCTGAGATTTAATAACTGGTCTGAGAAATCTGGACTGCAGTTCCCCTTTAAGTTTATTGCACAAATTATTTTTCAGCCACCAGTAGTTAATAGAAATGATATTCTATCCTAACATTTATGCTTAGTATTTCTGTTGGAATTTTCTGTCACACCTTATTTGAACACAATTAAAGTTATGATCCAGAGATTACATCTTTAATTTTGGATGCAATCCTGGCAAGATTAAGACAAACTATTTTGTGTTTTAACAATTGCTACTTGTTTTACATTGATGGCTTTCAATTATCATTTGACCTCTAACTTTGAAAGCTTTTTTTTCTTTAATTAAGAAAGGTTACAAATGAGAGGAGGCAATTCAGCCTATTTAGCATCACAGTATAGAAAACAATTTAAAAACAGCAATCTGTTTGGTCAATACAGTGCCTAGAAGTTTAATTTGCTCAAATGTGTTGTCAGTAATATGTGTATTCTAACACAAACTCCTGCAGGCAAATTCAGTAACATCAGTAACACGTTGTGCTTCAAGGCTGTTGGTCTGCTTCACAGTGACCATTTAATATGCATGGCCTCACTAATTAAGCTTATCTGATCAGAACGATGTGGCTCTGAGACTGTAATACCAGCTCCTCATATAGGAAAGATATGCTTCACAGCCCTTATATTGGCAGAGGACAGCACAAGAAGAGAAGCAATTGTGGAATTAATTTCAGAGGTTCAATGTGGGGATTAGCACTACAGATGAATCATGAAAATAAATTTACTCAACTATTATATATTTATACAGGTAAATGCAGAATAATTTGCTTGATAAACAAATGAGATATATACAGTTTGTATATAAATATTGGCCTGTTTGCCTGGATTTTTTCTTTATTGTGTGTATTAAAAACATTTATCTATTTTTCTAATGTGATCTTTTGGTTTAACATGTCTCAAGATAACAGTATCATTTGCTAAAAGCCACCAAAATATTATTTTATAGTTATATTTTTGGCTACATAGTAACCTATAGTACATGGCTACCTTATAATAGGATACAGCAAGCACCGGTTATCTGAATACTTTTCAAATGAGAAAATGTTGTTGCCCATAATTTACATTTACTATTATCATCATGAAGATTAATGGTCTAGAAACTGTGTCTTAATTATGTGTCAAAAGACTTGATTGTTTTATGTGCCTATCCTCAGTTCCAGTGTACCAACATGCTGTACTTGATGTCAGCATACCCAGCTTTCACTGTAGCAATGTGACAGTATTATATTAGTGCTCACAATGGGTTGGTATATTTAATCACAATGGTCTGAATAGTAAGAGTAATATAATTCTATAATTATTCTGAGTAATTTTCAAAATAAAACCAAACATTTGCAGTGTCTGTAAAATATGAGTACGTTAATAGCACAAGTCCATTTTTTGGTTTTAAATGTTAGTTTTGAGTACAATATTCAGTTATTATATATAATATAACTGTCACGGACGTCCAAAGGGACTAACCGTGGGGAGCAGGAGAGCAGAAAAAGACCCATATGCGTAGCGGCGAGACGGGAAAAAGGCCCGGGCTCATTAGTGCAAAGAGTTCAGGAATGCCGTATAGAAACCTATGCCCTCAGGGAGCGGACGTGGGGCACCCTGGTGCTAGGCAGGTCTCAGGACATCCGAACATCAATGCTGAGCGAGGACAGAGTGCAAGACCCGGAAATATATAGCCCAAGGAAGAGAGGGACAGGAAGGACAGCAGACCGGAAACTAGGAACAGGACAGAGAAGGAGCGCCCTCTGGCTGCAGAGGGCGTGACAGTAACTAGAACAGTTTGAATCTTCTTGTGAATCCCCTTCACATTCTCCATGCCTCAGGTGAAAATAAAACCCAATAATTCTATAGTATCAAATGATCTTCCTTAATAAGCTACTGGCAGTTGGATGAGCAAGATTTTAGAAAAGACTGGATTCTGTTTAGAACATATGAACCTATCTTATTTTCAAAACAAGTGAGGTTACCATGATATTTCCAATAAGACCTTGTGCTGAGTCCTGTCTTTATACTCCTGTCCTGAAGAAGATCTAAAACAAAACAGTCATGGATTTTTAAACATTTTGATAAAAATAATGCTAATTCAATGTGCCTGGTTATATCTAATTCACAAGCGTCTCATACTGCACAATGACTGGTACAAAACTTTTTAAGAGAAATCCTTCTGAATATTAACTGCCAAACCTAATATGAAGACTTACTTGTGTACAGTCATATTTCATTGATAGTTGGAAAATAGTTGATAGTTTTCAGCCTTTTGTTTATCATTCATGGTAACCAGCATTATATTTTAAATTGGATTATAGACCCATCATGTTTTATTAATGTTGTATAAGTCAATACATTTAATAGAAATAATTTTCTGCAAATGGTATTATGGATTCATTGTTTCTTATTGCTTTTGGTAACAGATTTGTTTTCTGTTCATTGATAATGTGACAGGGTGAAAGGTTTTTCCACTGCACACCACTAGAGGGCTCTCCAGCTGTTCCCTCTCTACCCTGTTTGGCGTGAGAATGTGAATCAGAACCACCTGGGTCCACATTAGAGAACCTTATAAAACATTCTCACGTGATTCCCCTTCTGTTCGCCTCAGAACCCCGGCATCAGCTGCAAGACAGCGGACGTCCATATTATTTCCCGATCAGTGCCCAAGAGTCTCTCGCTGTTAGTTCAAACTTGAGGGTATGAAGAAATGCAACTCAGAGACTACACGTTGGCTCTCTACTCCTACCAGAAGTATCGACCCTCCGCCGGCAGAAGGCAGCCAGAAAACCCACTCTGTCACAATAACTACCTCTTAACATCAGTAGCGGCAGTTAGCAAGAACGCCACCTGCTAGTCCATTGACACCACTTATAGTAGCAACTGATTTTCTTCAGAGGTCTCTCATCCCAGTGTTCATGATATTTTTTTTCAAATGCAATATTTATCATTTCCTTTTTGTACTGCTTCTGAATTTCTATTGTGACAATATAAGACATAATGTAAATAAAATTCAACCAAATACATGTACTCTGTAAAAACCAACATGGGCTGAAGTAGACCTTCAGGAGAGATGAGTGCTGCAGCAAAAGCTGATTTTGATCTCACCTCTTGTCCAGATTCTCTTTTTTTCCTTAAATCTGGAAACTCCAAAACTGCTAAATTTCAAAGAATTTATCTGAAGTCAAGAACACTAAACCCAGCCTCACAGCACAAAAAGTTTCAATGGGCCAAAACAGGCACATTAATACATTTTGCTATTGAATTAGCAAATTCTTGTACCTGTCATTCTATATCTGAAAAACCTACACGTGCATGTATTCTAAAAAAGATTTGAAAGTTCTTGAGTCATAAAGACACCTAAGAATCAGATGCTTTGCAAATGTTTATTGAGTATTTAAGTAAAATGAATTCTGGCTTAACCAGCTTGATTACGAGGTAGCCTCCTGGCCACAGGATGATAAAGCTGGACCCTGCCATTCAGGGAGAGGAGTTAAATAAGGGACAGCTGCAGAGCTGGAAATGTAGTGGAAGCAGGAGGAGGCTGATTCATGAAAGTGCATTGTCATATAAAAAGGTGAAGAAAATAAAACATAAAACTTCAAAAAAGCAGTTTTTGTTTGCTGAGACTAATCGCCTGTGTCAGAGTTTAAGACAGGCCAATTTAAAGTCATCCACCACTGTTAGAGAGTCGTGATCTGTGAAGCCACACTAAAAGACAAATGATTTCTAAATCTTGGATTCTCCATATTACTTTCTTTCCTTCATTCCAGGTGTGATTCATTGTCAACAGATAAAGGCACAAAGGAAGTATATTAATTGATCTGTGCACTTGATATGAGTTGATTAGCAGCAGATAATGAAGATTCATGCATTAATTAGGTTTAATTATATTATCTGTTGTGTGTCACACCACTGTACCCAGAAATACAATCAGAAATACAATCCAAAATCACAGCCAGGAACAGGCAGAGGTCAAAACCAGGAAAACTCAGAGTGAAGCACTACAGGTATACACAGAAACAGTCAAAGGCAGGCGCAACACCAAGGCACAGTTCAGGGGCAATCCAGGAAAACAAAGTGAAAACAAGCACTGTCAAGGCACAGAAGATAAGATACTTCAGACTAGTAACCAGGGTCTAATATTAAATACTGGAGGATACAATGGTGGGTCTTAAATAACAGAGGAGATTACAATCTGACAGGCGGCACTGATGGTCTTTCATAGCAGGTTGTTGTGGTTACTGATTGATTGACAGGATTAACATTGTTAGAGGTGAGTTTGGTGTGACTGTTCACAGTTTGGCAAGCAAAGGTATGACACTATGGGGTAGAAAGAAATTGCACCTGAATGTAAAAATGACAGCAAAACTGAAAATCTCTTCTTCAAGGGAAAAAAGTAAACATCCAACTTCTTGATCACCAATGTTATTTTTTGCATTTGTTGCACTGGTTAGTGTTTACCCAGCTCATTCCACAGGTGCATGACAAGGCTAAGTTTATGAACTGGATCCAGATTTACACTGTCTTGAGTGACCCTTATTACATGGAGACAAGCATTTTCATGCAGAAGAACTGAGAATATTGACATAGAAATTGCTGTAACACTGGTAGGAGCACAGATCTCAAGCTGAATTAATATCACACTGTGCAGTATAAACACACACTATCAACAACATCAAGGAAATTCCTAGGGTGAACATTGACTGGACTACAGTCATCACATCCCATCACACTACTACTGTCAAAACAGTGTACTTCCCTTAGAAAGACACCAATTAACATTTCAATGTTTTTTTGCTATAGTCAAATAAGACACATACTGTAACAGTGATTCAAAGTAAAACATCTACCTTTGGGGACTGTTCTCCCCAATGATTCTCAACACAACACAACTCAACACACATGTTGTTATAGTTTTAGAAATGACATGCTCAGGAGAAAATGATTTCAAAGATCTTTGAAAAGCTGTACATATGCAATAGCTCAAATCAACATCCTTTCATGAAACCATATTCAAGCAGATTGAGGCAATCAGACAGCATTTCACAATAATTAGTGGTGAAAATATGTGCTGTGTTTCAGTATCTTCTGTATCTAATAGCTAGCAATCAACAGAGTAGCTCTTATACAGTATATGTTGTATATGGTGTGTAACTCAAGTGCAGACAGCTGTATAAATGGCTCTTTTATACTGAAAATGTTCTCTGGCAGAAATATCTTTGGCTTCCATTAAGGATGCTTGACAAAAAATAACATTTTTAAGTTAACAAAGCAATAGAACTATTTTCTGTCTAAGGGTGCTCTCTTCAATTAGAGAATACATGCATAACATTTTTTTCATGTGGTCCAAATTTTACAGTATATTGTCAATGTTATGCATGTGTTCTCTAATTGAAGAGAGCATCCTGTATTCTGTATAGTTAATAAAAACAAATACTTAAATATACAATATGTAATAAATAAATTACTATTTTAACTTCTCAGTTAACTGCTATGGTGGAAACAAAAATACAATGTCTAATAAGATGTATAATTCAAACAGTATACTTAGACATTTTTCACATGGTTGTTCAATGGTGTTGTCTTCAGTTTCCTCTGATAATTCTTTTTATCCACATGTGTAGATGCTGCAGGTTACCAAAAAGGCCATTCGAGATGTGCCACAGAAAATGATGTTTACCATCTGTTCACTAAGTTCAGGGCCAGCTAAGCTTCTGTTAGTTTCACCTTGGCTACCATTTCTAGCCAATTTATATTCAGTCACGTTTCTTTAGCAGGGAGGCAGAGTAAAAATATATTACATTGAAAAAAGAAAGAAGCAAAAACTGCTGTGTTGTTTTCCAATTTTCCAGAATATCACAAAAACACATTTCACTTAAGTCATCCTGGAAAATCCCAGATGGCACAACTGGTATTGAAAACCATGTCCAAAAATATTCCCACTGACCCTCCTCCAAGTGCCCACACTTTATCACCTTATATTTAGCCAGCCTTCATGCATACAAATACTCTTTGGGCAGTTTGGCTACTGTCAGCACATTTACCATGGGCATTGAGTATGACAGGATCCCATTATGGTCTGTCTGTTGATCATTACAGCTCCCAAAATACGGAGCCAATTCAGGTGGAAGATGAAGTGCCGTAAGGCTCTATTTCTGACAATCACAAGGTACCATGTATAAATGTATGTATTTAGTTTTTTAATGTAGACTTCCTGCTTGAACAGTTAAATCACTCTGACATTAATGAGTGTCTTGATTTCATGAGTGAACATCCTGCTGTTTGTTCCAACATACTTTAAGCTTCCAACTTGCAAATTACTAATATAATCTGCAGATATCTGCTATGATTTCCTTCAGGCACCTGCTCTGAATATTAGCAAACAATTTTTCCTGTTACAAAGCTCTTACCTGATGAAAGGGGCAAGTCATCCTGGCACAAGAAGCAATCACTGTAGAAGAAAGTAATGGAACATCATTGATTTAGGAACTGATGTCATAGTATAATTTCTGCTTTGCAATTGCATTTCAGTGAGATTCAGTGATAGAGGAAAAAATAACTTTAGTGTTGGATGTTGGAACTTTAGGATGCCCGAGGCAAAACTGTGGTGAGTGAGAAGGGAAAGCAGTTCTCATTTTGTACAGTAGAATTACAGGTATGAAATAAGATGTGTGTGAATGTTACCATGTTAAGTAAAGAAGACAGAAGGAGTGGGAGTCGAGAATAGTGGCCAGAAACACAATAAATCAAACTGTAAGTATTAAGAAGAATCCAAGACAACACTTCAGATATGTTATCATGGTAGCAGAAAACCTGAGATGCATTGCAAATCATTGTGCCAGCAGACAAAAAAGAGCCAGAGGGTAGGAATTTACAAAGATTAGAAATATATGTGATATTTATGCACCAGGCATTTTGTTCATCTTCTTTGATCAATGAAATGGCATAGTCAACAGTTACCATTATCAATGATCAGGATTATGCTCAGGGATTAGGCTATTGACACTGCATGCTGAAGTAGTACAAGGAGCAGAAAGATCAATATTGAGTTCGTGTTTTTGATGGAATACTTGAGGCTGGTGACCCCTATTGGACTAATCCTCCAGCGAGAGAGCGTGGGGAAAAGGCCGATAATTAATCCTTAGTTTCCTAGTTTGCTAACAAAGAATCTGTCACAATAGAGAGATTGAAATTTGTTGAAGATTGTCATAGAAATTGGACAGACAGATAGATCTGGAGAGAAACTGAAATGCAGGCCCATTCAAAAGAATAGCTGCATACAGTATATGGAGTAAATATTAGAATGAATTCCGCCTGCCAATGAAGTTTAAATTCTTATCGAGTTGTTGAGCTGATGCTACACATGGGCAGCTGCCTTGATGAAAAACTGACTGGGATGTTTGTAGAAGGCGGAGCTGCCAAAGCGAACAATCAAGGGGAACTAATCAGCCAGTTTGTGGTGATGGTGTGTGAAAATTAAGTCCATTTTATTCCAGTAAGTAGAAATATCCAGACAGGATCCAGAGAGAGAAAAAATGTCATGTTTAAGCAAAGGGAATGTACATGCCACACCTGGCAAGTCTAAGAGTCTGTGCCATGACTCACAGGAATATTGTTCTGATAATTATTTGTTTGATTGTAAAGAAGGTCTTATATATAAAGACAATTTGGCTCAGAGGTCATCGGGAAGTAAAGATTTTTATTTTCATTTATCCCATTACATTTAACTGTAAATGTATCCTTATGGTTTAACACTAAGATTCCACAGAAAGTAAAGCTAGTAATATGCTTAACACATTACCCACTGTACATAATTAAAACTCTTAAAAATCATAAAGCATTTAAACAGGCCATTGACTGAAAAACAATATCTATATTTCTAAAATATATTTGGTATTTGGTTAAAACTGTTGTATTTGTTATTTCTATTCCAGTCAGAAATGGTAAAATACAGTATTAACTGTTTTAATGTAGTGTACTGCAGTTATAGAGTATTATGATAAATTATATGATCAATGTTATTAAATTGTACTTGGTAAAGTAGAAAATTTCAGAAAACTTATTGAAGGTACGTATCACCTATAAGTCATTCTTAAAAAAGTGGCATTTAAAACTAGATGGGCTAAGATATGTGCAGCCAAGTGGGTCCACATGAGCACTTGCTCACAAGCAAGTACAGGGAAGAGAAAACTCATGATTTCTGATTTGTTCAATTATAATGTGTCTTATACTCACTGTTCCCCTTGGAAAACAAGTGATCTGCTCTCCCTGCCCTCTGGGAACATAGGACGTAAGTTTAAGCTGAAATGTGGGCACTCTTGTCCAACTGTTCATTCGGGGACCTGGAAATAGCAATTGTCTCAATAGAGACGTACTCTATAGAGACGTACATCTACAGTATGAGATGTTACTTTGTCACACCCACCGGTTTTTCATATCTTATCAAGATTCTAGGCTTCTTTGTTACACTATCAGCCAGTTCCTGGAGCCAAGTCGTCGATCTGCACTGGTGGCCTCACTAAGCCTCTGCAATGAGTTTCAGGAATTTGTTATCAGTGGGATTGATAACATCAGAAATTAGCTTCAAAACCTCTGAGACACCTACTCTGCTTCCCCTATGGATAGGGTTTGCTGACATCCCTCTTACTGACCTTACCCAGGTTATCCCCCACAGCTTTCTTGAATTAGTTCATAAAATCAATCCCACTCCTTGTTTGTTAGATTCCATTTCATCTTCTTTACTGAGTTGCTCACTGTCAAACTGCTACTGACAAGGCAAATAACTATAGGCTAGTTTCAACCATTTTTGTCTGAATTTGTCATACATATTATGGCTCAACAATTAATCAACCCTGTCAAATAAACTCTATGAACCTTTCAATCAAGCTTAGATTTAACTCCCACACAGCAATGTTGTGTTTTCACAGTTGTTAATGATATTTAAATGGTTTTAGATTCAGGGCTGTTTTTTAGTCTAGTTTTAATGAATATTACAATATTGCATAATATTATATAGTGCTACATTTAACCACAACATATTGGCCTGGTCTAGTTCTGTCCTCTCCTTGGGATCTCCACACTGGCTTCCTATTAAGTTAAGGACAGACTTTAAAATTATTCTATTGATTCACACAACCTTGACCGGTATCACATATATTTCTGACCTGTTCTCCACTGTGCACTCTCCGATCCTCACATACTGGTCTCGTACTCATTACCAGGCTACAAACTATAAGTGATGGGAGCTTTTCCTGTCATGCCCTAAAGGTTACACACTACCCTCCCCATTAAAACTTTGACTGAATGCCTATCATTTTCTAAATCAAGCCTTAAATCAGCACAATTGTTCACAAAAGCTAAATGGAATATAGAATCACAGATGAATAGTATGATGTGTCGGTATTACTACATTTATACTAACTTTTATAAAATCCAAATTTTACATTAAAGTTCACTTGGAAATTTCAAAAAGGCTTGTTTTTAGCTCACCTGGGATATAAGGTCAAAACCTTGAACTGTATCAATCCATTAAGGTAAACAATTAAGTTTATGGTCTCTGTATGTATTTCAGTCTTTGAGCCACAGCTCTAACATAAAATCAATAAGTTAATTTAAAAAGTGATCACTATTTTCTTTGTGAGTGGGGCTGCTGATGACTTCACCTTAAAACATTTTCCTGTTGCATAACAAAAAAGTCTGAGCTAATTTGTTTGGTAAAGTGTGCATGTTCAGGAATCCATTCACTTTCTATTTTTCAGCCACTTCAAGACCAAGCTGAAAATAAAGAAGATGTTGCCCAGTAAATATCATTATTCTGTTGTGTAAGGTTGTTTAATATATATTAACACCATAAGCGTTCAAAGCTCCAATATGGAGGACATTTACAGCACAGGTAAGAAGAGTTAAAAGCCAAAGAAGGGCCTTTTCTAGGTCAAACCAGAGCTCACTGCATGTCAAAAGATGAATGGCAGGCGGGGTGGGTCTTTGTCTCCAAGGAGCATGTCTGTACTTATTCAGTCAACCTCAGTGGGTGCAAGGGTCATTGCTGTGAGCTGAGATATAAAGACACAGTTTATGGGTATATTCATAAAAAAATAACGGGAGATTTAAAATAAAAAACATGTATACAGTGCCTTGCAAAGGTTTTCAGACCCTTACAGTTTTCACATCTTGATGCTTTTGAAGCTTGCAGTTATAACACTTTCAAGTAGCAATTTGTGTCTGTTTGATATACAACCTGCTCCACACATTCACATAAAAAAACAAAAAAGAAGTAAGTGGATAATTAATATGAAAGACAAGTAGAAAAGTCATGATTACATATGAATTTAAACCCATTGTGGCACGCCTAAATTAATTTGCTGTAGGTGCACTAAATAAACTTAATTGAAATGCCTCTTTATGTGTGCAGTAATAATGGTTCTCTTGATTTAAAACACGTCTCTCTGTGGTTCCTTGATCAAGTAGTGAATTTTAAGAAAAGACCCAACCATGAAGAGTAAGGAGTCATTCAATGCAAGATCAAAGAAGACGAAATTGAAATGTTTTGGTCTAAAAGCAAACTGTTATGTGTGGTGCTGACCCAGCACAGGATGTGCCCCAGTCAACACAATCCCACCTGTGGCAGAATCATGTTGTGTGGATATTTCTCAGTAGGGACTGGAAAGCTTCTTATGATTGAAGAAAAATTAATAGGAAGTACCGGCAAAGTACTAGTGTAAAACATGTTTTAGTTTACGAGACTTAAAACTGGGCCAAAAATCAACTTTCAGTAGAACAATGTTCCCAAACCCTAGGCCAGATCTACACTGAAATTGCATAAATGTAGAAAGTGAATGTCCTGAAAGTCCTGACTTGAATCCTACTTAATATCTTTGGGAAACTGTGTTGTCCATAAGTAAGAATCTTGAGGAACCTAAGAAAATCCGCCAAGAAGAATATGCAAAAATCACCCCAAGCCATTATGCAAAGTTGGTATCGACCCAAGAAGACTGCTCCCACCAAATATTGAGTTCACGGATTTACTGTATATACTTATGCAAACAATGTATTTAAACATTTTTTACTTTGTTTTTGTTTACATTTGCTGTAAAGTATCTTACCCTTAGCAGTCTTCAGTCTGAGCAATCAGGTATTGTATACAATTTTAAGTTTAAATGCTTATTCATCATTTTGTCATTTCAAAAATATGATACCATAAGAATGGTATGAATACTTTTGGAAGGTGATGTATAAATCCTTTGACAATTTAAAATAACTTGTATAACATTTTTATATATTTTAAGATGGTAAAGCAGTGCAGCCATTTTTGCTTGGTAAAGAATAAATTAAAGACTCTTCTTTTTAATGCAGGAAATGTTATTGTTTTTTACTTATAAATTACAATAATTAATAATTGGCCACTCTGGATATCAACAAACAGTTTAAAGATAACCCTTCATTATATGCAGA